GGGGAAAGAGACAGGTTTTGGGCGGTTTAGTAACTGGACAGTGTGTGGAGGAACTTAATAAAGTTAAGAAACTCTAATCTGGAGAGAATTATCATCAGCTCGTGGGTGATAATACCCAGTTGTCAGCTGTTTTGCTAAGCCACCAAGGCGGAATATGAATCAAGAGATTTGAGCTCTAAAAATAAAATACAATTCAGAATAAGGATGTGTCATAGAGGCCATCATTTTCATAACTGTATGTGGCCCGCTTGGTTAGTCAAAAGAAATTGCTCAAGAGCAAGTAACCTACGGGTCATAAAAAAAGTTAATGTTTAATAAAGTGTGTAAGAGCGAGGGGCCAGGGACCAGAGTCCAGGGGCCGATTGTGTCATAGCCAGGCCACACCGCCGAACCAATGATGACTCGCATGTGGGTGTCGCACCATCTACTGCATAATCGTCACCGTCATGGGATGAAGGTCTAACAGTACAGATTCACAATCTGTCAATGGCTCTGATTTGCGTCAGTTGCCAGGTGGAAAGTTGACTTTGAGCCCCCTTGACATGGAATTTTGTGCTTTGCTTACTTTCCCATCAATTAATTAAACAGACCTAGTTGGGCCTGCTTTTGGGTCAAAAGAAACCCTGGCCTACATGGCAGGTTGCCTGATTCATCCCACAATTCAGCAGTCATTTTTAATAATTTCACCTGCCAGCGCAAACACAAGTTCAGGGCTGTTCTCAGTCAACTATTACCCTTTTGCCTAATTATATGTAATTGATTTCTTCCCGCCCAGGTTTATGGCTCCCGAACCAACAACATGTGCATCATGACCGGGCTGACGCAGATGATCAAAGAGGGCGGTATGAGGTCATTGTGGCGAGGCAATGGCGTGAACATCATCAAAATTGCCCCCGAGTCTGCCCTCAAGTTCATGGCATATGAGCAGGTATGATAGTGACTCAAATGAATAACCTCTCGTACTTGGTGTTCTTGATGTCCATTCACTAATGTATTTTCTTTCTCAATTGGCCTCTCCAGATTAAACGTTTAATTGGCAGCGATAAGGAGACTCTGAGCATCGTGGAGCGGTTTGTTGCCGGCTCTCTGGCTGGAGTGACTGCCCAGAGCACAATCTACCCCATGGAGGTGATTAACCGTTTAATTGCATCTACTCTAAAATGAAAAGCCATCAGGAGTCCTTATTGAGGCCTTCTCAAAACTTGACAGTGAAATGACACCTTTTCTTCACTGAATCTGTCCCCAGGTCCTGAAAACTCGTCTTGCTCTGAGGAACACCGGGCAGTACTCTGGTATCTCAGACTGTGCGAAGCAGATTTTCAGGAGAGAAGGCCTTGGAGCATTTTATAAAGGCTACATCCCCAACATGTTGGGCATCATCCCCTATGCAGGCATCGACCTGGCAGTGTACAGGTACGAGGGTGAGCACCACTTACCACACAACCCCACACACACACACACACCACCCACGACACACACACACAAACACACCACAACACACACCACACACACAACACAACCACACACACACACCACAACACACACACACACACACCACACACACACACACACCCTTTTCTTGCATTCTTTAGTCCTAATAGTATCGGTTTGTACAGTAATAAACTCTGCACACACTTTTCTTCATGATGATATACAAACAGTTTTATATCTGGAAAAAGTATTTGTTCAGTTTGTATTAAGACATCTAACCTCAACACCTTTTAAAATGCCACCAAACACTAGACTGAGTTACGTAACACAATCTGAATAAGGGAAGTGTCATAATACTGAGGGGGAAAAACAGAGTGCAAATAGACATATTTCTCATCTTGTACTTTCCCTCAGACACTGAAGAACCGCTATCTGCAGCAGTACGGCACCAACAGCACCGACCCCGGTGTGTTCGTCCTGCTGGCATGCGGCACTGTGTCCAGCACCTGTGGCCAGCTCGCCAGTTATCCTCTGGCTCTCGTCCGCACACGCATGCAAGCACAAGGTGAGCGTCTGCTCATGTCAGCAGGAACTAATGGATATTTGAACACTGATACTGACTTAATTGTGTAGATATTTAATGTTTAATAGTCATTTAAATGTCTCAGCTGGAAAATGGTACTATTAGAAATTTCCCAAAAATTGTTGTATTCTTAAGGTGACAAAACATTTATGTTTTTCTGTCTTTACAGCTGCAACAGAGGGCAGCCAGCAGATGACAATGACTGGTCTCTTCAGGCAGATCTTGCAGACCGAGGGCCCAACAGGGCTCTACAGAGGCCTGGCCCCCAACTTCCTCAAAGTCATCCCCGCCGTCAGCATCAGCTATGTAGTGTACGAGCACCTGAAGACACAACTGGGAGTGACATCACGCTGAAGCTTATTGTGACATGACTTCAAAGCTTGAATGTGACAAGAGACCCTCACCCCCTCCTACCCAAACACCCTACTACACCCCTCCCTCCCAGGGTTAATGCTATGGAATGCTAGGGAATCCCAGGGACCTTTCTGGCCCCTCTGGGGGTTCGTGGAGTCATCTCATTCTGTGAATGTCAGCTGACGAAAGACGAGAAAGGACACTGAACGTTGGAAATGCCAAGGTGGAGGATATGGACTCTGTGAGCTCAGGATGTCACGATTGTGTCTGCTGCTATTTATGTTTTAAAGGAGCTGTGCTGAGAGCTGAAACATGAGGAATGTGAGTGACTGTTAATCCAGGACCAACTATTTATGCTCTTCCTGCCAGTTTGTATTTTGGTGTCGAGTGAAGTTGGGGTTGTTTTTTTTTTTGGTTTTTTTTTTTCATCTTGGTATGACATTGCAAGCTTTGGTCAGTGTGTAAAATGTATCACCAGCGCTCGTAAGCAAGTCTACGGAAAACAATTCTCCCAAAGAGTGTCTGTTTTTACATGGCAGATATAGCATTAATAAGCTCTTGAGAAGTTTTACTCTTTAACAGTCCTGTGGGAAGAAATGATTGTGTTCCTAAATGAGAGGGTTTTGCACACGTGAGTTTGATCTCTCTCCTCCCCTGTCCTGAATGAGTGGATGCCTGACTATGGAGTATTTATTTCCATCCGTCCTGTATTTATTGTTTTTATTGTCTAGAAGAGAGAGGAGGTATAATGCTGCTGTTTCCTGTCTAAAGAGCCAAATGTGCGATTTGATCAGTTTTAAAATGCAGCGTGACTATATTCAGGGTGGGGAAACTAACGCCAGGCAACAGCCTTAACATGTGGCTACCAAACACTAAGTGTAGTTGTCTACTGAAATGTTCAATGGAGGGTTGGAGTTTGTACTCATGAGTCAATGTGTTTGAGCAACTGAAAAATTACTTTTTGTTTGTGCAAAACGCTTCAGATAATGTATGTTAATGTGTGTAGACATGTTTGCCCTTTTAAGGTATAAATGTCTTAATGTTCACCTCAGGGTTAAGGGCAGATTATTGTTTAATTCACAGAAGAGCACGCATGTTTGGTTTTTTTGTTTCACAACATTTATGCTCACTAAAACAAGGGCTTGAAAAAGATGAGTGGCATAATGCACTTTAATCACTGCTGGAAGGGCCTCTGAATGAATGTCATATCAATTCAGGGATTAAGATTTGATTCTTTTGTAAAGAATGAATTTTAGTATTTTAATGGACCATTTTGATGCAAATAAATGCAAATTCTTGTAATGCTGAGTCTCCGATTTCTTCCTTTTTTGTAAGAGCTGTATGATTCTTGTCCAGTTCTCTGATCAGTGTCACTTCCAGAGAAAGCAGCTGGTGTCCTGCACTGAAATATGAATGTTTTGGGAAGTATTTTTTTCCCACAGATAGGTCAAGAGACATTGCATGTGACCAAGACAGAAGTGTAATTAGGGGATTTTTCTTGCTTTAGGAACTAGTTGGTATTTAATGAAGGTGATTTTTCTAAATTTTGATGAAAACCTGCTGCAGCCTGGGTTATGATTAATCAGGCTTTACATTATATTTTGGGTTTACAGCAGCTTAATGATGCATTTATGTCATATCCATTATTGTAATTCTGAGTTTCTGAGTCATAATTACTAGAATTAGAGCAATAAAACCGTTGATACTGGCTTATTGCAGATATGTCAGTATCTGTGTTACGTCGGCCGATAAATAACAAGAAATTGCAGTACAAAAAAAAACAAATATAGATGTTCAAATCATCCAAACACGGTCATTCATGTAATTAAACCCAAATGTTCAAATGTAAACCAATAATCCACACAATTTAATAAATTATAAACCTCCATTGAATAGAAACTGTAGCGACAGGTATCTGAAAACGTGGATAAAAAAAGATCTATCTGGATTGACAGATGCCAGCAGAGGTAAGACAGAACATATGTTTGTTTGTTTTTTAGTGATCCTTTAATGGTGCCCTAATCTCCACATGCATACAGTGGAGGGGGAGGATTCAGGAGTTATATAATAGATTTACAGTAGTGCTCCTATAACTCTGGTTGTTTCACAGTAATATTAGTGGAATACGTGTTTTATAAATGCAAAAAAAAAACAAAAAACATCCTTTTGGTTTCACTTTAGTGAGTCCTAAAATGTTTTTTTGGCTTGAAGTGAAACATAAATGTTCTGGACAGTAATAATCAGCTGCTCCCAGAAGCTTCAGTTTCTCTTTTGGCCAGAGAAGAGATCAAAGATAGACTGTAATTAATTAATTACTGACTCATTAAAGGGCGGGGTTCAGTTGTGTATTGATATTTTTTATATGTTTTTTTATTTTTTTTTATATATTTACCACTGATATTTTACTAATATTGAAGTAAATATGCACGACCATTGTGACCTTGAGGATGTATTATTTATTTATTTATTTATTATAATGTGGACGGTTAATGCCACAGAAAGCAAATACTCTAACGAATTGGGATTACACACTGAACAGTAAACAGTGTTGTTATACAATGCAACTCCTTTGATTTTTACGCACACGGCTCAGTTGGCGTATTTTGTCCTACGCAGCCTCCCGTATGAAAACAAGGAAGCAGCGACAGTGGGATAGAAAGAACTAACTTAACGTTAGACACAGAAATAGATATAAATGCACATTTAGCACTGGAACTAGCTACATGGTTACTTCATAAGTTCCACAATTATTCATCAGCAGGTTGAACTGTATTATATTTAATATGTGGTTGTTTTGTTTTCGTGACTTTAACCACTAAAAGCTATGTCGAAAAGCAGCTAGCTGGCTAGCAGCGGTGCTAATGACACACATTGAAATGGTGCAGAACATGTTCCGGACCGGGTTTCTGGTCCGGGCCACACACACCTTGCTCACCTGGGTCACAACCCTCATACTGTTCCTGCACAACACCGGTAAGTTGAGTCAAACTGGGAGCATTTATTCAATTGTTCAGTGTCACAATGTGTGAAAACCCTCACACGAGGTCACATGGCACCTAAAACAACAACAAGTACACTTTGTTCCATCTAATCGTAAACAGCAGTGTATTCAGGACTGCCTGTGCAGATCCAGGTTCCCTGACTCATGCAGGGGCACTGCTGATGTTGCTCAGATCCAGAAAGTGTAGCTTTAGGTCTATTTGATAGAACACCTCAGCTGGATGTTACCTGTTTATCTATAAAGGAACTGAATCAAAGAAAGAGAGGGACAAGCGAGCCATCAGCAGGTTTATAGGTTTGCTTATGGAGGTGGAGATATATTAACATTAAAGGAGTAGTCCAGTGATTTAGTGTTGCACATCCATAAAGATGTGGGACTCAAAAGAGATTAAACTTGTAGCTTAGACCAGATACAAAAGTAAAACAGGGAGGCCAATTCTTTTATTTTTGCTGTAGACTGAAAACATTTGGGTTTGACGTCAAAAGATGACCATGAGACAAGAGATCAACATTTCAGCTTTTATTTCCAGGTATTTACATCTGGATCTGATACACAACTTAGAAGAAAGCATTATTTGATACGGAACACCACTTTTTTAGGTGAGCAGAAGTATTGGAACAGATAGATCGATTAAAGTGAATACGACTTAATATTTAGTTGCAAATCCTTTGCTTGCACTAACTGCATCAAGCCTGTGACCCACTGACATCACCAAACTTTTGCATTCTTCTTTTTGTTTTTTTTAAACTTTATTTTTGTATTTTACAATATACAAAAAGACAAAGAACAACAGTTTGGTTGCATCTTCCTTTAGATTGGCAGACAAAATGTTTCTGTAGACTTCACCTTTCCATCACTTTGGTAAAGGTTATCTTTGTCTCATCAGTCCGTGAAACTTTGTCCCAGAATCTTTGAATTTTTGGCAAATTCCAGCCTGACCTTCCTATTCTTCTTGCTAATGAGTGGTTTCTTCTGGTGTAGCCTGTGTACTTTGTTTCATGAAATCTTCTGCGAACAGTAACAGATTGTGACTCCTTCACTCCTGCCCTCTGGAGGTTCCTCCTGATGTCACTAACAGTTGTTTTAGGGTCTTTCTTTACAGCTCTCTCAATGTTTCTGTCGTCAACTGCTGCTGTTTTCCTTGGTCTACCCGTTCAACGTCTGTTACTTAGTACAC